CGATGAGTTAGCTTTGTTCTGAAGGCATTGCACCAAGAGACACCAAGACTCAACATGACTCAAAACAAAACTAATATGACATCAAGACACACACGACTCGCAAGATTTTTCCTGACAAACTGACTCACAAATAAGACTTGACTTGACTTACAAGACTGACACAGCAAGACTCACACAACTCTCACAACAAGACTTACACGACAAGACTTGACTTGACAAACTAAAACAAAACTTGACAGACTCAGACTTAACAATTCAATTTGACAACCAAACTCTAGGACTTCCTAACTTGCTCTGATACCAAATGATGCGAGCAAAAAATACAACCTTTCTAGATACAAAATAAAGACATAAAATGCTTAAAACAAACTTTAATATTATAAAAATGAAAGACTTACAAGACTCACAAAACTCTCGACAAGATTAAATAAATAATGAGCTAATTTTTAGCTCCATAAATGAACTAAAAACCAGCTCATAATGAGCTAACCTTTAGTTCAATAAATGAACTAAAGACCAGCTCATAAATGAGCTAAAATTTCAGCTCAAATTGATTGAACTTGTAAACTTGAGGGAGGCCAAAATTGATTTATTTTGGACCTGAGTTGACCCCCCCCCCTTTGTCTACATCACCACTTCTTCTTCTCATCCCCTCCGGAAATCTTGCGAGCTTTTTCCAGCCTTTCGTCTTGGTTTCTAATCTCTTCGTCTCTCCGCATGTGCCGCTTCATCTGTATCCTTCTTCTCTAAGTGAAGCAACTTTAGGGTGTCCTTTAATTTCGAGTCGATTTTGTAAGTCGTAATTTTGTGTTTTTAATTTCTAAGTCGGTCTTAGATTTGAAATGTAAGAGTTTGTTCTTCCTCATCTTAGTCTTTATCTTTCGTGAATTAGCGGGTGTCCGGGTGGCTCATCTCTTTTGTGTGGGCAAGGGGTATAGGCTCCCCTATATTTCTTGCCCCCACCAATTATTAAGGCGCAGAGTTGAATGTAAGACAAGCAACAGGCAAAGCCAGCATGCAAGGTAGTGCGGCATCCTTTGTTGATATACGTGAGAAGAATGGGTATAGGTGCAAGGATTGCCATCTATTGCGTGCATGTAGTGGAGCTAGCAAGTGACAAGTGAGAGCAGCAACTGGGAGCACAATAGAGAAAATGTGGGTGCGCAAGGGTTGCCCTATGTTGTATGGGAGCCGGACAGGACTTAGTTTTTGCACGAGATCAATTGAGATTATGGCTAGATTTTCCTGCTCTGGTATCATGCTGAGAGGAAAGGGGATGTTTTTTGTGTTATTGATTGAATATGCTGGTCTTATAACTAAGCCTATAGGAGGAAATAGTAAGGAAACATATGAAATAGAATAATACTCCTAATAATGAGAATGTTAAAAATATATTCTCATCTTCCAGTGTAAGGAGTCCTTGATATGTCAATACCATCTAGTAAGCCAACAATATATATATTTTTAGTTTATATATTTATTGAGGTTTTGTTTAATCTTGTCTCCTTGGTTTGGTCTAATTTTCTTTTTAAATGATTGCATCTGTTTTCAATTTCCATTAGAGTTTTGTTTGCCTGACCTTTTTTTTTATTTAAAAACTTATTTGGTCGTTATTATTGATATTTGCAGTTGATAAAGAAGATTTGATACCTCCTGTACCTGTCCTCACTCGATACAAAAGGGAAATTGGAATAAAGGCCTTTGTGAGGAAAGAAGTTACAGACGTGAAGTCAACAAATGATAAAAATTCCAATCAAATTAATCGACTAACAACAAAAAATCTGTGTGTACGATTGAATACCCTTTATGTAAGTTTTTTTTGGGACTTTCCTTGATAGCCTAGCACATTAGCATTCATTTTTTTTTTCGAATACTAATTTTCTTTTAAATTTTTAAAATAATTTGTTTAAAATAAATTTAATAAGGCAAGATGTGTTGATCATAAATGAATAGAAAATAAAGATTCATAAAACTGACTAAAGTTGTTGGGATGAGGCTAATGTAGATAATGTAATGACTAAAGTCGTTGGGATGAGGCTAATGTAGATAATGTAATGATTTTTCACTGAAATGGTATGTACTTGGTAGAATATTGATGATGGCAGTGTTTTTTAGGAGACAAATACTACTTGTTGGCCTAGTTACATTTTGTAATTTTGCTACAGTATATTTTCAGTGTAATTTTAGGTTGCATGTCAATTGATGAGTGTTGTGATAAGGCTACGATGTAGAACCATGTTTTTTGGACAATGTTGAGGGTGGGCCTGTGTCCAATGGTTGGTCTACCCCTTTTTGGTCATTGATTTAGGCATCGTTTGGGACGACTTTATTGCTGCTTCGTAAAACAATTTTTTAGTACAAAAATTAAAAATTTTGTACAAGAACGCTGAATGAGATAATGGAAACAATCTGTCTGCTAAAAGCAAAGCTTATTGTTGTACCTAATCATTCCCCAAACCCCTGAATTGGTAGGATCCTTGTGGACTGATTTTACTCTTTTTGTATTGGGGCACAAACACTGTTTTTGTCAGTGTTCTAGGCATGGCATGATCTGGCATCTGCTTTCCAGCTCATTGTTTCTTTTTGCCCCTCTTTATGCCGTTATGAATTTGGGCACATGCATTTGTGGAATATCTTCTGGATTGCTGCAAACTTACTTTTCGATCCTCTTTTTAAGTTTCATTTTGTGTAGAGATATGTGCATGAATTGGAATCTTGCATCACATATGATAGTGGTAAGTAAGAAGATTTATATAGGAAACCTATGCCTTTGATACAAAATATTGAACATTTTCACCCCGAAGTACCCATTGGTTTGGGTTCATGTTTGGGATATAAGTAAGAATGCCTACATTAACTATTTAGTAGTTATGTGCATGTGTCTCCTTGAAATTCTATTTTGATGTTGTTGTAAAAAAACTTAAATGAACTTGTACAGTTCATTTCTCTGAGCAACATTTCACTTTCAAACTCTGCAGTTATTTAAGTGTTTTATCATGTATGCATTTGAAACTGAGTCTCAAACATGTTACAGCTTTGGCAATTTATCATTGAATTTCATGGAAATTGTTTATTCGTAATGCAGATCATTTCTTATGCTTTAGCAATGATTAATAAGATAGATTCACTTTGGCTAGAAAACTAATTGGCATATGTATGTGCATTTATCTGGCACTAAATCTGCGAGTATTTCCTTCCTTCTGTTTGGGTGGTTTACTTGGGCCGGATTCATTGTGGATGTGTCGACCCATGTATTAAAGAAAAAAAATTGCACACACAAAGAGCAAAATCAACAACTCAAGCGACAGTCGGTAGCGTGACACGTCACTTAATGGTCAAACGATCTCTGATCGCTAAATGGACCGCGTTGTTGCGATCGGAGCATTGAATTTACCCAAGAGGGAGTCCATTGCAAACAAATCAGATGTAAATGATTGAAATTGGCGACCGAAACTCGCAAATGACTCGCGACTCCTCCCAATAGATGTCCGATCGCAAAATAGACATTGCTGTTGCGCTCGGAATGTCTGTGCCACTTAAGGATACTATAATTTCGCTCAACATAATTTGCTTGGGATAATCGGTGCGGATCTCGGGTGACGACGCACGTAAATTGAGGCAAAATGAATTTTTGATTTTACGTTATTATCTTTGTAATAATAATAATATTATTAATATTAATATTAATAATATAATAAAAAAAAAATAAAAAATACACATTCTTACCTGTTTGATGCCAATGCAGCTCATCATCTTTGCACGTTATTATCTTCCCACTCCAACTCGACGAAAAGCTCTCACCCTGTTTGACTTGACCGACTGTGCCAATCAACCCAACGTCCAACTTGCATGACAGCCTGACCTCTTTCCTGCAAAGAGACCTGCCCGATCCCAACACCAATCTCCTAGAAGTGCCAATCGTGATAAGAAGTAGACCATGATTTGTTAGGAT